TGTCTGGGACCAGAAATCCAGAGCTGGGTTTCATACATTTACAGCAAGTCCAGGTTATCTGAAATTCTGTGCTTCCTCTGACCTACGTTCTATCATGCTTAGCTCAAATATGAAAAAGAATAGGTCTGTAGGTCTTTAGAAGGTGTGTATTTTTATTTAGTGTAGACAAATCTTTGGAATCAGTTGAGATAATACTGTCATACTAAATGTATATTGCATCTAGACATGCATAGTGTTTTGTCAATTGTTCCTAATAGGGACATTTATTTTTAGGGAAAATCAAGAATTTTAATTGCCTATCATGCCCAGCCCATCTACTTCTGATTCTGTCAGCATCATTTTCTGAATTTCATACTCATAACACATTCATAGAAAAAAAACTAACCACTAAACTTTTAGCAGGTCCATACCCCCTGGTTGCATATCCTTATTTCTGAACACAACATTTGAATTCTAAGAAAGGAAGCCAGATGTTCAGAGAACCCTTTTGAAGCTATATAGCACAGCCAATGAACAACTTCCGTGGGTGCTATGGCTAGTCCCTCATGCAGGAGAGGTCTCATGCCAGACTCATTCCATACACGAGCAGTCCCAGGCTGGATGTACCTTATACAAGCCCTTAGATTTGAAGGTGGGATCATGGATTTATACATTTGACAGCATTTCTTCCATAGGATACCCCAGCTTTGACATTGTTTTTCTGTTTGCTTAGATTTTAAACCTGAGCATAAGCAAACCTGTGAAGAGTTGCATGATTTTTCATGAATGTTTAGAATTCTGTGTATAAAGATGTCCTTTGAGTATTTCCCCAAGTAGCCTGATGTATATTTGAATTATTTTCTTTGGTTTTAAGAGAACTTTAATATTTGCCTGGAAAATTTCTATAACGTACTTATCTCCCTCCTACCCCACCCCCCGCCACACACCTCTTTCTATGTGAAGATGGTTATTTAGATGTTTAGGATACATCAATGGCCAAACGTGGAGCTTATATTTTCATTCTTCCTAACTCTAGATGAATAAATTGCTAGATGCATAGATGTCTTTTTACTAGTGGCCTGATGCACAAAATTCGTGCATGGGGGGTGTTCCTCAGCCCGGCCTGCACCCTCTCCAATCTGGGACCCCTCGGGGATGTCCCTCTTGCAATCAAGGACTGCTGGCTCCTAACCACTCACCTGCCTGCCTGCCTGATTGCCCCTAACACTCTGCCTGCCAGCCTGCTCGCCCCCAACTGCACCCCCCCACCAGTCTTCTCACCTCCAACTGCCCCCCCTTGCCGGCCTGCTCACCCCCAGCTTCCCCTCCTTGCCAGCTTGATCGCCCCCAGCTGCCCCCCGCTCCTGGCCTGATGGCCCCTAATCCCCTCTGCCTTGGCCCTGCCACCATGGCTTTGTCTGGAAGGTATCCTGGTCTAATTAGCATGGTCTTTTATTAGTATAGATAGAGGCCTGGTGCATGGGTGGGGGCTGGCTGTCTGCCCTGAAGGGGGTCCCGGATCAGGGTGGGGGTCCCTCTTGGGTGCCGGGCCAGCCTGGATGAGGGGATGATGGCTGTTTTCAGGCTGCCCGCCCCCTCTTCAGAGTGGGGGTCCCCACTGGGGTGCCTGGCCAGCCTGGATGAGGGGCTGATGGCTGTTTTCAGGCTGACCACATTCCCTTCAGGGTGGGGAGGTCTCTGCTGGGGTGCATGGCCAGCCTGGGTGAGGGGCTGATGGCCGTTTGCAGGCTGGCCATACTCCCATTGGGGTTAGGGTCCCTGCTGGGAGGCGTGACCTGCCTGGGTGGGGGGCTGAGGGCCGTTTGAGGGTGGTTTGCAGGCTGGCCACGCCCCCAGCTTTGTCCGGAAGGACATCTGGAAGGTCTCCGGAAGATCTCCGGGTCTAATTGGCATATTATTCTTTTATTAGTATAGATGCTAAATTATTTTTTATGGTAAATACCATGTAAGAACATTTTTGAGTGCCTTAAGAATGGTTTGATAGTAGATGGAAAAGCTCTGTGAAGATAGTGTGGGTGTCACGTTTTCTAGTTATTTTTGTTTTCTGAAAGAGAAATTAAATGAAATGATCAAGGATTCTAAGTGATACTTTGGTGGTGTCTGTTTTGGTTCGTTTGTAACCTAATATCAGTTACAGAAGTAGCTCCCATGGTTATTCCCTCTTCCATCCAGATAAAAAAAATTAGAAAACAAATGACAGTTTTAAATGTTCATGTGTACTTGATTCTAAATCTTTTTCTGAAAATTTCTGAAGTTAGTTAATGTTTTATGGTCTATGCTGCCCTAAGAATTATTTATTTTAAAAATTTTATTTTTTAATTTCAGTTTACATTATTTTATATTACTTTCAATGTACAGCATAGTGATTAGACGTTCATATTCTTTACAAAGTGTTCCCCCTGATTTTCCAGTAACCACCTGGTCCCGTACATAGTTATTAGAATATTATTGACTATATTCCCTATCCTGTATTTTACATCTCTGTGACTGTTTTGTAGCTACCAATTTGTGTTTCTGAACCCTTTCATGTTTTTCACCCAGATCCCCTGAGAATTGTTTTAAAAGTTATTTTGTAATGGATTTATTGAAATTGAAAGCCTGCTAATAATAAATATCTTTGAAAATTGATTTGTTTTGGAACGGTTTCCAAGCCACTATCTAGAATCTCGTTTGCTTTGCATTTCTCTGTGATATTAACAGGTGATCAGGAAATGACACATTTCAAGTTTTTTCAGATTAACCGAGTAAAAGACTAGCACTTCCTTGCTAATACTTTTGAAAACTACCTTTTCCTCTTTTTTCCAGTTATTTGCAAATAACTGTTTACATAAAGATTATTATCTCTTTTTGTGCATAGGTCACTATGTCTTACACTTCCAATTCCATTATAAAATGTTCTGATTATATGCTACTACCATTCTTGCTTAAACATCAGAAAGTCTCTATTTGGTCAATGCTAACATTTTCCAAAGTGGATTCTAGGAATTCCTGGACCTGTAGGTTAGTGAAAATGTTATGAGAAAAAACAAAGGCTTCTGTGCCAATATTAAATTGGACTTTTTTTTTTCTACAAAACCAGAGCTTTAAACATGTTAATGGGCAAAGTAATTTTCTGAGAGAGATATAATAGTCTGACTTTTCCACAGAGTTTGTTGCTTCAGGAACAACTGGCTTTCTTATTTGATGGATTAGTATGAAGATCTAATATTAAGCAAACTGTTTAATTTCTCTGGGCCTCTATTTTTCAGTACCTTTAATACAATGCCATTCTAAGACCCATACTGGTAGGTCCTCTGCCCTACCCCCAACCTCTCGGTCTATCAGCTGTTGGGATAAATGTGGCTCTCACCCTGACTTCTGAGCTTCTACTGATTTGTTTGGAATGCCAGAAGATGTATCTCTGCAAATCTGCCTTATGAAGTGCCTTACAATGTTTTCATCCAGACAGTGTATTGATTTATTCTTTTTCTTCCCTGAGTTCTTTCCCTTAAAAAACAAAATGAAACATTATTACTGGGGATCCCACAGAATGGGTTAGGTAGAGACACCTTGCCCCCTGGGAACCTGTAGCTTTACACTAAAAATTCAGTCAGCATTCTTCTCTGTGTTTGTGGATGTTGCAACCTTATTTCTTTGGAGGCCATTTCTCAGTAAGTAGCCTCGCATGGAGTAGCCACTGGTCAGTGGGCTGGAAATAGCCCTGCTTCCTAGAGTTCACAGCAAAGGCTTCCTGGGGTCGTGACTGCAGTTACGCTTGTAGGATGAACAGGTGGTTGCTAGAGGAAGGGGGTTAGAGGCAGAGCCCAGCGAAGGGCCTTTGGGCTGGAGGAACTCTACACTAGAAAGTAAAAGAACACTGCTGTGGCTTCTGTGGGGAGAGCGTTCGAGCTGCCGTGAGAGATTGTCTGATACGTGAATGCACGAGATTGCATGCTTGCATTGGTGCATGTATAGCATTTGCCAACAAGAACCACTGTTGTTAACTTTTCTCCTTGGTGATTGTTGATATTCATCTCTTCTATCATTAAATATATGAAGTAAATAGTATTCCATCCTCAAAAGGTCTGGGGAAATTCTGCATAAACTCTGCCTAGAGGTAATCATGATTGTAACAGTCCTTTCCCAGAGGCAAAAGATAAGGATCATAGAGACCATTCCTGTAACCCAAATACTGATTCTGTTTTACATTCCTTTAAGGCATAATTTAAAACAATCTCTAGCACTTTGGGAGATTTTATATTTATTATTACTTGCCTTATTATAACATATATGAAATAGAATATAAAGCAATTTATATACTTTAAAGAATTTAAAGGAATAGAAATCTGGTTTGACATTATTATGCTTCCTTTATTGGTTTCTGGTGTTTCCTTAAAAAAAAATGTGTATCGGGTATAGACATAAGAATCATTCATACCTGTTGAGAGTGTTTCCTTTCCTCACCTGAGGATATGCTTTTATTGATTTTTAGAGAGAGGGGAAGGGAAAGATATTGAGAAACATCAATGTGAGGAATCTCTCACTCTTCCTCTCTCTAAAAAAAGGTGGGGAGGGGGGGATGGACATTCACTAGAATTTTTCACACAAACAAACAAAAATGCCACAACAAACAAAAAAGTATCAAAGGAGGAGACCTAAGGACAGTTACATGAAATCCATTGTTGGTAGATTAAGGGGGCAGCAGAAAGCAAAACAGGGATATCGCTGGGACAGGATAAAACAGAGACACAGGATAGTTAATAACAATAGACAGGCTCACTTCAGATAAAGGTTGACCTTTGTCAAGGAAGGTGCAGTCCTACGACGTGACTGCCGGCCTTGACCTGTTTTTGCTTAGGATTTTTATGTTCAGACCATCCTGTGTGATTACTCTCAGTCTCTGAGTTTGCAGGCTCATCACGCAGGCCTCCCCTGAGCTTACTTTGTAGCCCCCTTTCGTCCACAAGGACTTGACCATTAGCTTCGCTGACCATCTTGCTTTTGTTTTATTCCTCCTCCAGTCTAATGGGATTGCAGCCATCATTGCCATTCTGGTGTTACTGCTGCTCTTGGGCATCGGTTTGATGTGGTGGTTTTGGCCTCTTTGCTGCAAAGTGGTGAGTAAGGATTTTTAGCTACTCCTTATTTAACCAGTGAGATATAAATAAGACTTGGAATGTGAATCAACACTACATTGTTCACCAAGAGCAAAGTTTCAATTAGCAAATTGAACTTCAATCATTTTTATCACTAATAAATTCTAGGAAAAATGCATGCCAATAAATATTTATTGTAAAACTTCATCTCAAAAATATTTCAAAATCAGGTGTGGAGGAAGAAGGGAAGAGGAAGGTAAAGGAGGTCATAGAGATAAAGGCTTTTGTACTAAGTACAAAAGAATTTCAAGTAAATTGCATGGTATTTTCTACTGGATTTATTGGAAGAGCATTATGCTAAGTGAAATAAGCCAGTCAATGAAGGAAAAATACCACATGATCTCACTTATTCATGGATAATTGAGACCATTATAAACTTTTGAACAATAATAGATACAGAGGCAGAGCTGCCTCAAACAGATTGTCAAACTGCAGCGGGAAGGCCGGGGAGGGTTGTGGGGTAGGAGGGAGGGGGGTAAGAGATCAACCAAAGGACTTGTATGCATGCATATAAGCATAACCAATGGACATAAGACACTGGGGGATAGGGGAGGCTAGGGGACTGTCAAGGGGGGGGGGAATGGACACATATGTAATACCCTTTGTAATACTTTAAGCAATAAAAATAAATAAATAAATAAATTTAAAAAAAAAGAAGTTGATCATCTGTCAGGTTTTTTTTTAAATATATCTTTATTGATTTTAGAGATGAAGAGAGAGGGAGAGAGAGGTAGAAACATCAAGGATGAGAGAAAATCACTGACTGGCTGCCTCCCACACGGCCCATACTGGGGATCAAGCCTATAACCCGGGCATGTGCCCTGAGCGGGAATTGAACTGTGACCTCCTGGTTCATAGGTTGATACTCAACCACTGAGCCATGCAGGCCGGGTTGTCAGGTGTTTTTTTAAAGTGCGTATTGAATCTTTCATTACCTCTTTGAAAGATCTACTATTTCAGAACCTCTCTGTTTGCTTCTCAGAAAAGCAGTTTAGAAATAAGTCATGTGCAAATGTTAGGGGAACGGTTAGACAGTCACTTTTGAGGTTATGCCAGTTGGTTTTTGTTTGTATCATGTTCCATGAGTGGGTAAAACCTCTGAGAGAATCTGGGAGTAAAATAGTTTTCTACTGCTGCTGTCTTAAATTGCCTCACATTGGGTGACTTAGCTTAAAACAATGCATATTTGTTATCTAACCATGATGTAATCACAGATCCAGCATGGGTCTCTCTGGGCTAAAAGGTATCAGCATGGGTACATTCCTCCCTTAGTGCTCTGGAGGACAGTCTGTTCCCTCGCCTTTTCCAGCTTTCAGACGACACCCACATTCATTGATTAGGGGTTGTTATGGGTTCACTCAGCGAGATAGACCACTGACTCAGAATTTAAATTTAAGAGCCTTTATTAAGCTGGCCAGCTGACTACAGTTACAGCGCCCCGCTGAAGCAACGGCCGAACTGCAGCGCCGACTTCCATGGCCAGCGACTACAGTTACAGCACCCTGCCAAAGCAGAGGCCGAACTGCAGCACCGATTTCCATGGGCAGCGGCTACAGTCCAGCACCCTGCTGAAGCAGAGGCTGAACTGCAGCCCAGACTACAGGAGTTACAGCGTTTTTATTTGCAAAAACCACAAAGTTACAAAACCTTAGTTCCCGACACAGTACAGCATCATTACAGTGACTACCTTCCTATCTATGTGTTCTAGGAACAGAGAGTACAGAGTGCCAGGAAGGGGCCATGAGACCATATCTCAAGGCCTGGCCTGATGTCAGTACCTTCCTATCTATGTGTTTTAGGAACAGACAGCACAACATGACCCATCTGGCCGAAGCGCCAGATATGCACCCCTCCCCCATCTTCAGAGCCAGCAACCATGCATCTCTTCTGTAGTCACGGCTCCCTCTCTCTCAATGCAGCTGGGATGGTACCTCCAATGTTAAGGACAGCACAAATTAGGTTGGACACTAGGATAATCCAGGATATTCTCCCATCTCAAGGTCTTTAACCTTAATCACATCTGCAAAGTTCCTTTTACCTTGTAAGGCAATTTGGTCACAGTTCCAGGGAATTAGAGTGTGGACATCATTGTGGGGCTGTAATTCTGCCAACCACAGGGTAGAATGTTGAGTGGTAAATACTGGCAGATTTTAAGCAATCCCATTTGGACTCTTCAGGCTTCATAGAAAAGATTATCCTGAAGAGCACCTTTTCAAAGCATGCCTACTAATTTTGATAGTGTCCCTTTTATTAGCAGCACATCATTTAGAGCTCTGTATTCCATAGATCACAGTATTGTTTTACGTACTATTACTAGACTGCCTTTCCCTCTCGTCTCCGCTGACTGATTTCAGCAACATCCGGCAGTGCTTTTGGTATTAGTCCTGCATTCATTATTCATTGTACTTCAGTCGGCTTTCACGAGGCAGCTTTACAGTCTTTTACGTCAGAGCCATTGGCCCATGGAGAAGATACAGAACTAAACAACAGTAGAGACAAGAAGCATCCTGCCTCTTTGCTGAACTAATCAGTTTCCTGCCGTAGCAGTTTGTGCACAAACAGCTTCCTGTTTTAATCTTGATTTTCCTAGATACCACTATTGTAGGGCGGCTAGCATTTTTGAGTCTCAAATTTACAAAGCATAAATGTGCCCTAAAGTGATTTAAACTCCTTGCTTTTTTATTTTAAATTTTGCAGTGCTGGATTTCCTTTCTTCATTACTTTGCAATTTCCTCTATTATTGGCCAGAGGGCTCACAAGTGTCAAAGTATATGTTTTTTAAAGATACTTGCAAAAACTGAAGCAAGCTTCTTTGGGAGTTTGCTGGATGTGCTCCAAGGAGGTTTCCACTGTCATTTTGGTCGTGAAAATAGATCTATTTTGATCCCGAGACTCTGCAGATCGCAAAGCACATAGTGTATTTCCTTCTGCCCCGCTTAGGGCACCTTTAAGGTGTGTTTTCAGGACATGTTGGCTGCCAATCATGAACGCTTGCTAATTTCTGGAGCTTATTTACCAGAGAGAACCAGTTTTAGTTTACATTTAGAAATATAGACTGAGAGAGCAGTTAGCCCTGTGTATGAGCTGACCCTTAGATCTCGGTATAAATGAGTCACAGCTAATATTTCCTAAAGTAAGGTTTAAAAGCAGAGAGAAGCTAAAGGCAAAATTCTGTATTCAGCTCTTAGCAATCTAATAAGTTCCAGTATTGGGCTGGGAACTGGGGAGTGGGTGTGTCTGCACAAAAATGATGATAATATGATATGAAAACATATTTTAATATGAAAACACAGAACTGTGGGTAAAATGTCAATGGAGGGTCAAAAGTGCCTCAGTAGCACAGGTGTAAACAGTAAGAGCACGAAGGAAGAGGGAATTGCTAGAGTGAAGGGGCTATTTTAGAGGAACCTGGCTAAGCTGCTGACTCCAAACTGGGCTTTGAATAATGAATAAGTTGTTGGCAGTTGGTGGGGGACATTTCCGGTGAAGTGTGTGCAGAATTACTAGGTATGCTGGCCTGCTTTGGGAAGGCCGAGGTTGAGGCCTAGGGTGCCAGAGGCAGGGAGTGGGGAAGGATGGCTTGGGATGTAGCCATGAACCCCGTTAGGGAGGACCTCCTCTGTCTTTTAGGAAGTTTGCACTCTCCCTGGGCATGAGGAGAAGCCACTGGAGAGGTCTGATCAGTATAATCCCCTGAAAGAAGCTTTTGCTTGTTGCTTGGTTAGAGGTCTGGTCCTCAGGGGGTTAAGTCTGCATCCAATGTAGTTCCATCAACAATTGAAATGGGAAGCCAGTGACAGGTAGTGCATCTTAGAAATGGTTGCAGCAAAGTATCTCTAACAAAGTGTGGAGAGTTGGAGAATAACATAGAGGCTAAGTGAGCTAGGGAAACATGAAGAGATGATGGAAAACCAGGGGCAGAGAAGACTAACCTTGTGGGAAAAAAATGTTGAGTGTATCAGGTGTTGTAGTATAACTGCAGGAACTTTATTTTACTTTGTTCCTTTTACAGAAGACACATGTGCAATGCTGGAATTAGAATGTGGTTATTTAAATAATTCTTAGCATTAACTTATCAGGGACCAGTTTGACTTCGATTGTCGATTGTTAGCAGTGACATTACTTTTTAATGGGGTGAGAAATGCATTTCTCTCGGCTTGGTGTCGTACAGCTGTCTTTTTGGTTGAGTGTGTTTTAAGTATCAGTGGTAGAGATTTAAAGGTGCGTCTGTCCTCTGGGCAGGTTTACATCATGTCTGTGATTCACCTCTTAGGGAGTCACGTGCTCAGAAACGCTTATCAGGATAGAGAGCCTGCGGGAAAAGCCCGAACAGAGGCCTTAATATTTGTCACACCTTCTTCAGTCAGTGGTTTCATATTTAATGGGAATATCTTATGAAATGATTTGATCGTTCATTGTTTAAAAATTACAGTTTCATGTATAATAATAGCTCAAATATGACAGTGTTACTCATATCTTAGACAGTGATTCTCAGTTTGTTTATTTTTTTATGCCTGAGGACTCCTATAAGAGTGGCTGTCCGACTTCAGTGGTGGCCATCCTGCCTGAGGGAAAGGAGGGCTGAGATATCCCGGGATCAGTGCAGTTTGGAAAGCCCTGTGTGGTAGGCTGGCTAATGATCTCTGAAGTTATCTGGGTCTTAATCCCTGTACACTGAATGTTAGCTTCTACGGTGAAAGGGACTTGGTAGATGTGATTAAATTAAGAATGTTGAGATAGGGAGATTTTTCCAGGGTGACTTAGGTGGGTTCATAGATCAACCATTGAAGTTCATTATTTAGTGAACTAATAAAGAAACATATTTCTATATAAAAGATTTAGGTTTTTTTTACACATTTGATAATTATATTTTAATATAATTTGGTTTCTTTAGATTCTGTGTATTTTAATTTAGCTTAATTATTCTGAGAAGGGTTTCCATAGGCTCACCAGATTGCCTCTGAGGGGCTTAGGATGAAAAGGTTAAGAAAACAAAACAAAACATGCAATAGAATCTGGACAGCCAAGATGCTTTTAATATGAGACTATTTAAAAATTTTAAATCTTTCAGTTTATTTTAATGAGTATTTTCAAGACTAAAAGAGAAATGATATCATTTAAAATGTTGCAGAATAGTGTCTTTTCTGTGCCTGGGCTGTCCATGACAAATAGAAATCTAAATCAATGATATTTGGAGAACTTTATCTAGTAATAATCACAACAAAAGAGCCCTCATGCAAAGCTGACATTTTGGGGCACTACCAATAGTGAATTATGGAGTGTGTTGAGTTTGCAAACTATTCCATAAGGGGAAAAGTTCTCGTTTTTGTATGAAGTTATTTCTCACCATCTGTTAAGAGTCTGTATCCTGCTCATTGAGTATCCTCACATCGTCTTTTACAACTGCTTTTCTTTAACGAAAACATCAACAGCATCCTCTCTTTTTCCTTGAATTTAAAAAAAAATGGGACAGGAAAGATAAAAAATAAACTTATGTCTTGAATCATGAGTGAGATAACGGAAAATGTGGATGTTTTCATCATTGTTTAGCTTAGAAGGCATGTTGGGTTTACGGCAGATTTGTTGTACTATCAGGATGGCAGAAATGACGGTCCCACAGTTGCATCATTTGGAATAACCAGACTCTCCACAGGATTACAGATGTAAGGCTAATGAGGTGGCAAACAAAGCCTTTCTGGAGTGTTGTCAATTAGAGTGTGTTCTACAGCTGCAAATATCTGAATATACTGGAAATAATACATGCTCACTCTGCTCTGGTGTCCTTGGCCAAAGTTCTCCATCTGCAAGGGAATACTCATTTCCCTTAGTGCATTTCAGACATTACATAAAGATCTCATGCATCTTAATTTTAAAAACCATTTAAAAAGTTATCTTTTTAAAGCCCACCTTGTTTATAAGTAAGTTGAACTTTCATGACGAGGATATATCTGACTGGAGCTCTAAGGAATCATTTTCTTAGCCAGCAACAGCTGTGCTGTTTTTTGTAAATAGTAATAACGCTTCCACATTCACTTGTTTTTTATTGTTGAGGAGGTCTCGTGGTGCCTTTATTGAGTTACTTTAAGAGCAGCTTGGTCATTTTTTTTTTTTGGAATGCACAATAAAGTAGAAGTAATTTAAATTTTAATATGCCTTCCTTGCACCATTAATTAAAATGATTTATGTTTGGTTGCCCCCTTGAAATAGAGTGTGATGTTAATACTCATTGCTTCCATGGTGATGTTTTTCAACAGAGCATCATGTACAAAACAGGCTACCAAACTCTTCCTGGTCCTAGTTTATTTGCCTTGACAGCAGCACCTTTACTTAACTGCTGGCAGAATACACTCTCACACTTCCTTCCAGTCCTCATTTGGCATTTTTAAATGACTAGTCATTGACCAGACTTCCTACCAGTTATTTGTTGCTAGTAAGAATCCTTTCCTTATTAAAGATTTTTATTGATTTTCAGAGAGGAAGAGAGAGGAAGAGAGAGGGAGCGAGAAACATCACTGTGAGACATTGATTGGCTTGTCTCCTGCACTCCCCCTACTGGGGATTGAGCTAGAAATCCAGGCATGTGCCCTGAGTGGGAACTGAACCAGCAACCTTTCTGTTGTCGGGATGATGCCCAATCAACTGAGTCAGACCAATCAATCTTTGACCATTGATGAATCTGTCAAAGAGGAAAGGAAATGAAATGAAAGGAAAGGCAGGATGAAGTAACCCAGATCTCATTTTGGTCTGGATGTTGAAAGCATCTAATCTTGTGAGATTTAGAGAAGGACTTCCCAACAGCAATGTAAGAGCCTTTGTGCTTATGCACTTCAGAGGAGAGGAACTACACTTGCTCTCTGATCTTATCAAAAAGAGATGGGAGAATGAAAGGAAGACCCACTTATATTTTTAAACAAATTTTTGTAGCCAGTAAGAATGATTTCTCTATTGTCTATGGGCTCCCAGACACTTAGATGACATTGCTGATAAACTGGGCATTTGTTTTTGTCATTGGCAAGAATCAGTTCTGAAATAGTTCTTGATCTACAGTTGCTCTACAGTATCTTTTTTAATTCAGTGCAGTTCACTGTTGACAGTTCTTTTCACTCTTTTCTGAATATCAGAACATATGATTGCATCAAGCTGGCTGCAGGCTCCCGTGCTGACATTTTCTAGCGCAAAGAATGCCCACATCACTCGAGCATTTGAAAAGTGTTAATGAGCAGATCAAAAGGACTGTTGCCTGAAGCAGCTAACTTTTTTTTCCCCCTAAGAAATCGGCTCTCCTCCAAACTGAAATCTTCATTCTAGCAGCTAAGTAGATGAGATGTAATCCTCCCCGATGATGATAATAACAAATAAAAAAAAAAATTGGAGAAGAATCAAACTCTACATATGGTTCATAAAGTGGTGAAAGTGTTTTCCAGAATCTTCAACTGAGCTGAAGGATGCTAAGTGGAAAAAAATCCTGGCAACTAGGCAATATTATGCCTTTTAAAATCTGCAAATTCTCATAAAATATGGTGCATATGAATACATCTTTTTCTGAAATGCATGTGCTCTTGCACTATTTAATACAAGAATGAGATTCTCATGACTGTTATTTTTAATGTATTTGGACTGACAGTAAGGTTTCCCGTTCTCCTGCACTAGTTTGACTGAAATGTAGGGATATCAGTTGGACACAGATTTTGCCATTTTTGGCTTTTGGGCTGAATGGCTTCAGATCATTTCTCCCCTCCTTTGTTGCTTATGAGGCCACATGGTAGA